AATTAGTGATGGGCCGAACACCGCCCTGTTCAGTTTGCAGTCGAACATTTGAACCTAATGAATGCTCGACCAGGAACTTCAAACTTAATGCAAGTCTATGGGACTTGAACTTGTAAATTCAAAAGTGCCCATTTTGAAGGCTTATACGCAAGTTAATGGCCACAAAAGGATGTGGGGATTCGGGTACCGCCCTGAGGGACATAAGTTAGTGAACTTTTTTTTAAAAAGTACCGTTTTTAAAGGGGCAGTCATTTTCATTGCTTAAAGTAAAAAAAAAGAAAGAAAAATTCCTTTAAATATCATGCTTGGGGGGGGGTCCCCTTAAACTACCTGCAAAGGTGCACATCTGTACAATGTATAGAACCTGCTGCAACAGGACTCTGAGGGTAATTAGGAAGTCCCTCAAAACACTGCCTTTCGCAACCATCTTCTATAAAACGCCTGTGTTCCCCAAATGCTTTTGCAGGGTCCTAATGGTTCTATCCATGTAGAACAACCCACGCGGGCATGTCAGACAATATACAACATACTCTGTGGAGCAGTTATAAAAGGAATCAGTGTGGTAGGTCGCTTTTTTGTATCTGGGGAGTTTTTTATTTTACTGGGGGTCACTTTACTTTTGACGTTTCTGGCTTTTCAGTAAGATACCTGAGGATTATTGGTAAGAGATGTTTATAAAAAGAGATCCTCGAAGAGAATGGACCAGTGTTTCCATAGGATGTTCTTCATGCTCTTATATTGGGCACGAAACAGGGTGGTAAAACGAATAGGTTGTACAGAATTGGTTGTGGCTGGATCCTTGGTATCCTTGGAATCACAGGAAGGATTGTTAGACTAAGACTGGAAGGCTTCTTGTACAAGGGGAGCATTGTTTCCCTTGTCCATGAATTTTTTGGCAAGGAGATGACCATGGTCAAGATAGTCTTTCCTGGTGCAGTTTTTACGGAAACTCAGCGGTACTGACTTGGATATGCGGATTGTCAGCCGTTGGTTTCACATAATTTTTGGCAAATATTTTATCAACCTTGTGGCACAATTCTAAGTCTAAAACAGCTCAAGTGTTGAGATCTTGAACATAAATGAAGGAGAGTCCTATAGTATTCTGGTTACAGTATTGTGCAAAGCCATCAATCACGTGGGCTGGGCCCTCCCATATAATCACAATGTCATCTTTGTAACGATAGTAAACAATATAGGCAGAATAAGGGCTGTTTTTGGTTATGTACAAATGTTCCCAGTTCCCCATTGTCAAGTTGGTATAGTTGGGAGCAAACGTTTCCTCAATAGTTGTGCTGGTAATCTGGAGGAAATCAGTGCTGTCAAACTCAAAGTAATTAAGCTGGAGGCAAAACTAGATAGCTTTGAGAATGAACTGGACCTCTCTAGGACTCATTATTGGGTCCCCTGCTAGATAATGCTGGACTGCTCAGAGGCCCACCTCGTGAGGGATAGAGGTGTAAAGTGATGTGACATCAAGAGCCCCACAAATATGTGGGCTCCCAGGTGTATGGTAAAAGCATATCTGGTAGACGTGTGCCATCCAGGATATGGGATGGCAATCTCTGGGCAAGCGGCTGTAAGAACTGATCTACGTACACAGAGAAGCCACTGATGACGCTCTCCATTGCTGCCATGATGGGGCAACCCGGTGGATTATTTAAATCCTTATGGACTTTTTGCAGGTGATGATATTATATCTTTATTATTGGTAAGGTTATATAGGGCTCTTTTTTCTAGAGGTGTAAGAGATGTAAGATTAGCTGTTATTATACCTGACACCATCAGGTATCTCCTTTACATATATACAGTATGTTTATTCTTAGATTTTTGTATTTTTTTTTTCTTTTAATTACTCCTTTTTTATTTTACAGTAGATCTGTATGGTATCCTCTAAAATGGATCTCAGGCCTATAAGGTCTATGGTTCTTTTTTGTTCTGACATCCGTAAGTACCATATAGTACACATATAGATCTGTGTTTCTGCTTTATGCACTGTTACCATGTAATTCTTTTTTGCCATATTTCTTTCCTTTTCAGAAATACTTTCTTCATGATAAGTTAATGTATACATACTTTTTTTGTGTGTATATTTATATGTATATTTATGTACATTTTTTATTTAATGCAGTTTTGATGGCATACTGCATTTTAGTTTTTATCATATAATTTATTGTGCATAATAAGGCTAGATACTTCTTGTCTAGTATATTTGTTTTTATTATTATTTTTTTTTACTGTTTTACTCCTCCAGACTCTATACTGATATGCACCAACTGAACGGCTGGTCTTTGTAGTCCCATTTCCACAGTGTTCCATATACTATAAATAGTTGTATGCAGCAATATATCTGTAGGCCTGTATAAGTAGCTAGAGTTTCTGAGCGCTTAGCCTGTTCTTCCAGCCCTCCTGCCCTTCTGGTGCTGTCAAATCTTCTTGTGCATTCCACGCTGGTTGGTGTGGACTTCCTGATCTCCACAAGGCGTCCATGTCCATTCTACATCTCCATAGCTGTCAGGATCCTGGCTGACGGTGCCTGGAGAATAAAGAGGAGCAACCGATGCTGTACACATACATGAAGAGCGTGTTATCACTTCATAAACTTCTGAATGTTTTTAACCATTTGTGAATAAATTAGCACATTTAATACTGCACTTAGATGGCACCTCCCTTCTCTCTCTTTATCCATTCTACACAGAGCTTGCCATACTCTAAGGATGGCAGCCACCAAAGCACCTTTTTTCCTTTATTAGGACTTATGAACTTTATGAACATTTATGGCCATTTGTTAACCCCAAGTGCCTTTCTAGTGTATTTATATGTTTGCTGGACACTTAACCTCTGTGAATATCCTCATCTCTTTTTAAAAGACGCTGAATGTTTTTGCCATAACTGATTAATGCAGTAGAAGAACACCTTGGTTGTATCACTGGAGGTACATTATAATGCTGTGCATGTTTAACCGAAATTAATGGTTTTCCGAACAAGAAGACAAAGGACCGCAGGGAGGATGCAAAATGTCTCCATATGTTTGTATAAATGATGGGTACTCCAAGGAGTTTCTCTTCCCTTCTCATGGCTTTAAATGTTGTGAATGTGTCCATAAACGCACATGGCACTTCAGACACAAAATAGTAAACACATCAATCTCCTACAATATATCACCACTGCGTTGTTTATCATTTTCTTTTAATAGGTCAAAAGCTGAATAAATTGTGTACCTGCAAGCATCGCCGCTGTAGCATACAAATGCTTTATTCCGTCTTGTCCTTCTCTATTGCTATCTAATGGCACCCATAAAAATTAAAGCAGAGCTCTGCAATGAATGAGAACAATCAATAGCCATTTACCTGCGTCTGCTTTCTGTATTTGGATGGACTGATTAGGATTTAAATTAATGCCCTGTGAAGATTTTATCCTGAAGCAGAAAATCAAGTCAAACTTGTGAACAGATGCTATTTCTGTATGCCCTGGGCTCAAACTTGTAATTGCATACAATGCAATTCACTGCAATTTTAAACCATTCAACCACCTCAATATTCCTTTTTTTTTAAGAAACCTCCTCTAACATGTAGTGCGGAGACTGCTTCAGGAAACAAAAACACAGGAGGGCACACAACCTGACCTTAAAGAGTAACAGGAAACAGGTAAAAAAAAATGGTACTGTATGTATTGTATGCATTACAAACTTACAGCACTATAAATCTATGATAGAGGGACCATTTGGGACAGTCAGTGTTGCCTTTCAATCTATGTTAAAGGGTAACTCCGCTTTTGTTGAAAAAAAACCTAAAAACAATCCCTCTGGGTGGTCAATGTACATTGCAGGGATTTAACAAACTTTGTTAAAGATTCCTACATGTTCCTGCTCTGAAGAAATACAGTCAGGTCCATAAATATTGGGACATCGACACAATTCTAACATTTTTGGCTCTATACACCACACAATGGATTTGAAATGAAACGAACAAGATGTGCTTTAAATGCAGACTGTCAGCTTTAATTTGAGGGTACTTACATCCAATCAGGTGAACGGTTGTAGGAATTACAAAGTTTGCATATGTGCCTCCACTTGTTATAGGTGACAAAAAGTAATGGGACAATTGGCTTCTCAGCTGTTCCATGGCCAGGTGTGTGTTATTCCCTGATTATCCCATTACAATGAGCAGATAAAAGGTCCAGAGTTCATTTCAAGTGTGCTATTTGCATTTGGAATCTGTTGCTGTAACTCTCAAGATGAGATCCAAAGAGCTGTCCTATCAGTGAAGCAAGCCATCATTAGGCTGAAAAAACAAAACAAACCCATCAGAGGAGATAGCAAAAAACATTAGGCATTGCCAAAAACAACTGTTTGGAACATTCTTAAAAAGAAGGAACACACCGGTGAGCTCAGCAACACCAAAAGACCGGGAAGACCACGGAAAACAACTGTGTGGTGGATGACTGAAGAATTCTTTCCCTGGTGAAGAAAAAACACCCTTCACAACAGTTGGCCAGATTAAGAACACTCTCCAGGAGGTAGTGTATGTGTGTCAAAGTCAACAATCAAGAGAAGATCTTCACCAGAGTGAATACAGAGGGTTTCACCACAAGATGTAAAACATTGGTGAGCCTCAAAAACAGGAGGAGGCCAGATTTAGAGTTTGCCAAACGACATCTAAAAAAGCCTTCACAGTTCTGGAACAACATCCTCGGATGGACAGCTGAGACCAAGATCAACTCTGTGATACCAGAGTGATGGGAGGAAGAAGAGTATGGAGAAGGAAAGGAATACTGCTCCATGATCTAAGTAGAGATGAGCGAATTATTTCAAAAATTTGGTTCGGCTGATTCGCGAGATTCGCCGAATAAATTCGCCTTGTAGCCGAATATATTCGCTGCGAATTTAACTTTATAAAAAGGGTGTTTCTAGGCTTCAGAGAGCCTTTATATATAGTGCAGAACACTGTACCTTTAATTTAAATGCCTTGGAGTCTGTGGGGAAGAGAAATAATACTGTCAGTCAGTATGACATGCAGATGATAGTGCCGTCGATCTTAGAATCACCGCACACTTCACTCATTTTTGGGCAGTTCACGGGGCCAAATCCACCAGAGTGTGGAGCCACCAGTGTGGCGGTGGGACGGCAGCAGCAATGGGAGGCCATACAGCACCACTATGACAAATGGAAACCCACCAGTCAGTGTGAGGAGACCTGAAAGTGGCACATGGCATGAGTGTGGCGATGGAGACAGCAAGCAATGGGAGGCCCGTTAACAGGGACCATGACACACTCTGGTATCCTAGGCAGCAGCGATGAGGAAGGTGGTACCAAGGGGCCCATGACAAGATTACGGGCCTCGGCCAGCAGCTATGAGGAGGTCGGTGAACGTGGGGGCCCATGGCAGAGTACGGGCCTGGCAGCAGCTCGATGAGGATGGCCTGGTACAGGGGGCCCATGGCAGAGTGGCGGAGGGCTGGTTAAGCAGCTATAAAATTGAAGGGCCATACAGGAGGCCTATTGTTAAAAAAGGTCCCCCCCAGCAGCAGGCGTGGGGCGGGAAGACGACTGATCAAGCTGTCCAATGGCAGATTTGGCGGAGCAGAAGCAGCTTCAAATTGAAGGGCATACACAGGCCTAGGTTTAAAAGTCCCCTCAACAGTTAAATTCCAATAACGAACTATACGCCTCCGTGGCAATCTACTACGAGATCCATGGGCAGGTTCTGGGTCCCATTTTGTGGTAGAGACTGGTTTTGTTCAGCCATTGCATTGACGCAGTAAGTAATAACAGGTATGTGCTGCCCTTTGGTGTCCTGGCTTAAATGCTGCACATCCACTGAACGTTTCCCAGAGTTTGTTCAACGATTTGCGTTAAGTGATGCAAGCCCGGCTGGAGCCACGTTCATGAGGAGCCGGTAGAGGGGGCCATGAAATCAGTATGCGACCTTGGCTCAGCAGTCCGTGAGCAAGACGACAGAGACACACATGGCAGCGGTGGCGGTGGTGGATTGTTAGCAGTATTCAGAAGCCGAACACACAGCCCTCCTGTTAAAAAGCTGGAAGCCGTCAGCCGAGCGTGTGAGCAGACGAAGAGGCACATGGCGCTAGGGTGCGCGGTGGATTGAGGCATAGCTAGCAATGGATGGCCACATACAGCACCCTACACCTATCACAAAATGGAACCCACCAACAGTGTAAGGAGACCTGAACGTGGCACAATGGCAGGAGTTCTGGCGGATTGAAGTCAGCAGCAATGGGAGGCCCCTACGGGACCCCTGACCATCGGACCTGGGCAGCAAGAGGAGGCGGTACAGGGGCCCCTGGCAAAAGTGGCGAAGGTAAGAGCTTAAATTGAAGGCCATACAGAGGCCTATTTTTAAAAAGTCCCCCCAGCGCAGTGTGGGGGGACGACTTCAAGGTCAATGGCAGAGTGGGGAGCAGAAGCAGTTCAATTGAAGGCCATAACAGGCCTAGGTTAAAAAATCCCCAGCAGAGTGTTTGGGAGAGGGCTTCAGGCCCCCTTCAGCAGGTGTGAAAAAAGGCCCATTTTTTAAAAAGGTAGCGAGGGTCAAAAGGTGGACGCCCAAAAGTATCCCTCTGTTGGGTGGTTTTATTCGGCGTCGCTAGCAAGCAACCCAGCATGCTATGGGCCATTTGTGCCAAGGAATGCGGGGACTCCCCGCCTCATTCCACAGTACTGCCCGGGGGTTGGGTCCTCTGTTCCCCTCCCCCTTACAGATGCCCTGCCCTCCACTCCTGTCCGCTGAGTGGAAAAAAAAACCCCCCTTTCCTCAATAATTCCTGAGCACCAATGTCCTCCTTACCTTTTCCTCTTCTTCTGTCCCGCCCCCCCGGGGGGATGTGGGTTGAGATCTGTGCGCCAGTCTACGCACCCCGACCCGCCCTTGTTAACAGCTTTTTTTCCGGAGTGAAAGAGGAATGACGTCGTTCATTCCTTTGTTTCCCGCCGTCTAGAATAGGTGGCCTCTCAAAGGGCCCGGCAGCGGCAGGTGTCGCATGAGTGCCCAAAGGTGACACTAAGTTTCAAGGGGAGTACCTTTTCGCTTGAACATCAGGAAAAAAGGTGATGGCCTTTCGTGTTTGTAAGGGGGGGGTCTAACATATGTAGGGGTTTAATTCACCTTGTTGCAAAGTCGCAGATCAGGCGATGTGTGGGAAATTCGTTGTGCCGCTGCAGCTCAAGGAGGGGTGCTTTGCGGTTAGGAAAAGGCTGAAATGCAGCAAAGTTTACGTGCATTTTAAGGATGTCTTTCAGTGGGATGGTGGATTTTGGAACCCCTTGACAACAGAATTTTAAACCCTGAGCCAGCATGGCGCATGGCAAACCCTTCCCTTTCGCAAGCAACCCATGTTTTTTCCCTTGTCGGGTCAACATGGTTCGATTTTCGTTTGCGCGGAGACAGCCCTCTGTCGATTTCTCGGGTTTTTAACTCAGAAGTTCCTCCCCTGTGTGACTCGTTTTTGCCCAAGGGATACCCGGGGGCAGCACATCGTGACACCCTTGGCCCTGCAATGTGATATGCCCGGGCGGGTAATGGGACTTGGCCGGGGGGGGGTGGCGGGGTGAGACACGGCGGGGAAAAAGAGGTGGTAGA